GTGGGTGGTGGTGTGGTGGGGGTAGTGGTAGAAACAGTGGGTGTGGTCGTTGGGGTCGGCGTGGTGGTCGTTGATGGGGTCGGCGTGGTGATAGAAGCAGTGGGTGTGGTCGTTGGTGGGGTCGGCGTGGTGGTCGGTGGTGTGGTGGGCGTGGTGGTAGAGACAGTGGGTGTGGTCGTTGGGGTCGGCGTGGTGGTCGTTGATGGGGTCGGCGTGGTGATAGAAGCAGTGGGTGTGGTCGTTGGTGGGGTCGGCGTGGTGGTCGGTGGTGTGGTGGGCGTGGTGGTAGAGACAGTGGGTGTGGTCGTTGGGGTCGGCGTGGTGGTCGTTGATGGGGTCGGCGTGGTGATAGAAGCAGTGGGTGTGGTCGTTGGTGGGGTCGGCGTGGTGGTCGTTGGTGGGGTCGGCGTGGTGGTAGAGGTGGTAGGCGTGGTCGTTGGTGGGGTGGACGTGGGACAGGTGTCCATCGGCAGGCAGCAATTCACACGTATCTCGTAGTCATAGCAGAGTCCAAATAGTCCATTTTCAAACTGATCTTCGTTATTGCAAACGAACCCAACCGTGGTGTCGCACTGTGCCTTCTGGCCCAGCTCCTCCCAGCTGAGGTGGGGCTCCGTGGCCGACCTGCACTCGATGTCCTCCGGAGCCAGGCAGACACTCTTGAATGTCTCTCGGTCACCGCCGTCACTGCCAGTAGTCGGGCGGTCCTCATTGATCCAGTGGGACCAGAAGCAGCACAGCGCTAGGGAAGCAAAGCTCAGCGTTGGTCACCTACCTCTGAGGAGAGGCACCTTGGGGACGTCACTGGGACCCCCAGGATCATCTCCCACATACAACGGTCTCTCTCCTCCCCCGTCATCACCAAAGGAGAGTTTAGGGTGGATGTGGTGTCGTTTTGCAATTGAAAACTGAAGGCCCAGGGAGATGGGTCTCTGAAGGCTGCCCCAGCAGCCTGTAGCCCTGTGCCCCTTCCTCATGTCCAAATTCTTGTGTCCAAATATATAACAAAAGCACCTCCCACCCCAGTAGGGAAGCAGCTAGCCGGGCTTTCCTCTCTGTTCTGGGCCAGCAATGCTCCCCACAGCTGGTCAAAGGCCGCTTCGTCATTCTCTGGGCTCAGCAGCCCGGTTTACCATTGTAAAGGGTCTCAGCATCACTTACGTGGAGTCACCGGTGAAACTGCAATGCAATGGGGGAAAGAGGGTCTCATTATAGAGTTCGGGATTTTCCTTTCTTTCTTTCTTCCTTCCTTTTTTGTCCTGTGGCTATCACTCCTAGCAACTTGTTCCTTAGTAGCTGTGACCTCAGCAGGAGCACTTACAGAGGAATTTAAGGAACTTCCTCCAATCTGTGGTCCCTAGGGATAGCTCCTTGCTCCTTTTTAGAAAGGTGCCTTCCACAGGTCTGGGCATGGGGACCTGGTCATGTGGCGGGCATCTCGACTCACGAGGAGTGAGTTCAGAGGAATGTCAAGGTCGCCTCACTTCGCAGCTGATTTGCAGATCGCAGTGCCTGGCTGCCCTGGGCCTGGCTGCACTGGGCCAGGCCCCTGCCCCGAGAGCCGTTTGCATGGGTGCTGGGCGGGATGGGCAGAAAGCAGGGTCCCGGGGCCTTACCTGTGCTGGAGGTTGGAGTGGTGGTGGTGGTGGTGGTGGTTGTGAAGGGGGCTGTGGTGGGGACTGTGACCGTAGTGGAGGCTGTCAGAGTGGACGAGGCTTGAGTAGTGGTGGACACACAGATGTTGAAGTGCTTCTCCACAGTTCCGTTGGGGCCACAGAACTCCGAGTAGCAGAACACGCCATCCTGGGTCTGGTTGATAATCTTCCCTACAGGAAAGGGGACACCAACCATGACTGTATCCGGACAGACAGACTCGCAAGGACACCTCAGCCTGTCTCCAGTGAGGGAAAGTGGGATGTCTCCAGCCCTAAGTGCAAACATCTGCTCCAAAAGGACCCCACCCTCAGATCCCTCCCTTCAAAGAAGGTACTCCCTTCAGAACAAAGAAGCTGGGTCAGAGGAGAGGGGTGACAGCCATTTACCACGGCCCTCATTCCCCAGGAGCAGGAAGGATCAAACACATGTCATGTGAGCCCCACGAGGTTGTGAACATCAGAGGCAGGTGTGAGCTGAGAAGGGCTCCAGGACCCAGGGCAGGGGTCAGGGGCAGAGCTCAGAGCCCCGATGAGTCCAGGAACAGGGCACCCCGCAGGCTCCCCTGCAGCCCCTGGCCAGCCAACTCCAGGATAGCCAGAGGGTGCAGCTTACCTTCTTCTGTCTGGCAGACCACCTGAGAGGAGTTGGTGCACACGCTGCAAAACAAGTGCCATGCCTGCAGGTCCCTCCGCCGAGCCCCCACCTCCCCGCTCACAGACACCTGGCTTGCTGGTACCCCTGAGTCCAGGCCCACAGCCCCAGACACCAGCTCCAAAGGAGCCCACCCACTGAGTTCTAACTGGGCAGAGAGGGCACTGAAGCAAGGGAGGGAAGAGCCAGACCAAGCGGGCAGGATGACAGTGGAAGACCCCCTTCTCGCCTGCAAAGGAGGTCTGGTCCTGGGTGCCCTGCCTCCTGTGTGCCTATGCGTGTGTCCACATATGCATACAGGTGTGCACGTTTGCATGGTGTATGCCTACATGTGTACATGTGTGTATGGTGTGCAGGTATGTGTGTGCATGATATGCATGTGGATGTGTGTACACATGTACTTGCCTGCAATGCTTGTGTCTGTTCTGCATGTGTGCACGTAGCATGCATGATGTGTATGTGTGTGTTATACATGTGTGGCTGTGTCTATGTACATGGTTGTACACATGTCTATGTGTATGTGCCTGTGAGTGCACCCACCTCCCCCAGGTGCCCTGTGATGTGGGCTTAGATACCAAGATTTGCAGATGTCCTCGGTGGGAACCGATGCTCCTGGTGGGTAGCGGTTGTCTTCAATATAGCAGCCACACTGTTCCTCGGCGACACACTTCTTCAAGTCCTCATCATAGATGGGCCTGTCCTCAGGGCACCGGGGATAGCAGCCTGGTGGACAGAGGACATGGGCTTTGGGACACCATGGAGGACCCCCAGTGCACCTGCCCACAGATCCTCCTCTCAGGGTGTTCCTCGGGGAAGGCCAGGGACAGAGAAGCAGGTACCCGGATCTCTCCACTCCAGTGGGCCCTGCACACTGCCCCAGGGCCAGAGGATCGCCACAGCCGGTGTGCAGCCAGGCCCTGCCCAGCTTCATATGCCCTAAGCCACCCTGCGCCCCTGACCTGGCTCTGAAAGGCCACTTTGCCCTGCTCTGCTGGACCCCCAGCACTTTTGCTCCTGGCCTTTGAAGTTGAGCATGAACCTGCCTCTTTCCTGCCTCTCCGCAGAAGGGCAGGGCCAGAGCTCAGAGTCCAAGCCCAGTGCTCAGGGAGCAAATTCTGCAACAGGGTGAGCCTGGCCCACCCCAGACCTTGGTTCCTGGCCAGTCGGGGCTCTCTCTGGGCACCCTTGGGGGTCTCAGACAACACCAGCCTTCACCCCCACACAGGCCAAGCCACTCAGGCCTCAACAAGGGCCCTGCCCACAAGGGTCACAGGGCCTGCTCACCCTCCAGGTAGGACACAGAGATGTTGGAGTGGATGCCGTTGATGGTTCTGCAGGTCTCGAAGCTGCGGTTCCCACAAGGTTCGTAGTGCCACTCACACTCGTCCGGGGGGTTGTAGTAGTCACAGAATATGGCTGGGAATGGGAGCACATGGGGAGGGTGAGGCTCAGGAGGCACGGGCGGGCCCGAGGCGATGAGGCAAGGCTCAGGAGGCACGGGCGGGCCCGAGGCGAGGGTAAAACCAGGGTGGGCAGACGTGGGCTTGCTCGTGCCGGCCCTGGTCCTCCAGTGGTCCACAGAGTTGGGGGGTGGACGAGTACGTCCCATCACTCAGTTGGGTAAGGAGTAGCGCCCCAGCCCATGGTGTAGCACCACCAGCCCCACTGCTGGCCCGGCCCAGGGTGGGCAGGCACTCACGGCACAGGTCTGGCGTCCTCCAGAACACGCAGGCCCCCTCCTTGGTGCACTCCTGGGCGTAGGAGGCCACCGCAGAGCAGAAGCACTCGCAGTCCCCACCGGAGTCACAGGAGCAGGAGTCGTGCACACAGGCCTCGTAGAACGGCTTGGGGTCCACCTGAGGAGAGGCCCTTCGTGTGCCCTGTGCCCTTCACGAGCCAGGACTTCCCTGGTGGGCCTGGGGCTCAGGACCCCGGTACTGGCCCTGCTTCTGGGACAGCCCACGATTCCCAGGGCCCCCATGGGACCAACTCAGGAGGGGAGGTCCAGGGACATCTGGCCCACACTCAGGGCCTTGGGTCCTCGGTGTAAGATTTCAGTCCTAAAGCCCCTTCCTCCACTGCTCCTAGCCGAGGGCTATCTGGGAGGTAGGTGGTATGGGGGGGGGGTAGGTAACCTCCCTCCCTGGTGAGCAGGGAGCCTGGGAAGGCAGAGGGAAGTCAGGGGGCTCAGGAGATCTGAACATCTGATCACAGTTCAAAAGCT